GGCTTCAAAATCACTGCGTGACTGCAGCCATGAAATTAAAAGACTCTTGCTCCTTGGAAGAAAAGCCATGACAAACCTAGACAGCATACTAAAAATCAGAGACATCACTTTGCCGACAAAGGTCCCTAAAGTCAAAGCTATGATTTTTCCAGTAGTCATTTATGATGGGCGAGTTGGCCCATAAAAAGGCTGAGCATCAAAGATTGATGCTTTTGAACTGAGGTGCTGGAGAAGACTCTTGAGAGCCCCCTTGGCCATCAAGGAGATCAAATCAGTCAATCCTAAAGGAAATCAACCCTGAATATTCATTGGAAGGACTGATGCTGATGTTCCAATACTTTGGCCACCTGATACAACCGACTTGTTGGAAAAGACTGATGCTGGGAAAGACTGAGGGTAAGAAGAGAAGGGGACAACAGTGGATGAGACGGTCAGATGGCATCATCGACTCAATGCACATGAGATTGCATAAACTCTTGACGGGGAAACCAGGCATGCTTCAAGTCCACGGGGTTCCAAAGAGTCGGACACGACTGAGTAAACAACCACCAATTTATATAGAGCAGGCAAATCCACAGATAAAGTAGATTTCCAGTTGCCAGGAATTGGGGAAAAGGGAGATGACTGCAAATGAGTACAGGGTCTCTTTGGAGGGTGAGAAAAATGTTCTGAATAGTGGTGAGGGTTATATAACTTTGTGAATACACTAAAAACTAATGAATACTTTAAAAGGGTGAATTTTACATTATATGAACTAAACTTCAATTTAAGCTGTTTAAGATTTTTTAAATTTGGACCATTGTTGAAGTCTTTATGGTTTGTTACAACACTGCCTGTTTTATGTTTTCGTTTTTTTGCCACAAGGCATGTGGGATCTTATATTTCCCTGACCAGGGATCGAACCTGGACCCCATGCATTGGAAAGCTAAGTCTTAACTTCTGGACTGCCAGAGAATACCCTAAGCTGATATTTTTTAAAATTAAGAAACACCTGGAGATGTGCAACTGATTTCCAACAATGCTTTTATCCATTCGAAGTTTTTACTCATGTAAATTTAATCCACATAAAAATCTGCCGAACAGTACAAAATAAAAAACCAAAATTGCGTTGTGTTGCTTGAGAGGGAGTGGGGCAGTCTGCCTTCAATAAATTAACCATAAAAATAAAGGAAATCAGTGTTTGTTCTCATTACTAAAAAGTTCAATTCATTAGGCACCTGAAAAATTATTAATTTTATGTTCAATTTACCTAACCAAGTCCATTTTAAAATTCAAACTAATGACTCTTGTCAAACCAAAATACCAGAGAGCCAAAATTGCTTACTGATCCAGACTTCTCAAGTGCTGAAAGTACTGATGTAATTCTATGAAAGTCCCTTTTACAAATGGAAGTAGCCTAAGTAAAAATGCTTAGTGTTTCTGGAAAGTTAACAGGCTAATTTTAGCTTCAATTATGCTAAAAAGGTTTCTGAAGTGTAAAAAAAGTTTTTATGTAAACTAGTTTCTAAAAACCAATCAATTTTAAGGGGAAAAAAAGTATTTTGATGAACTGGAAGAAGAGCACAAGTTTCCATATAGATGCAGTGGATAAATCAAGATGATATACTGCTAGGAGACTCTGCATCCACAAACCAGCAGGCCTCCCACTCACACATACAACACAACAGGAACATACACACCTATTTTCCAACTGCATCAGCAACCACCCATGTACCGCATAATTACACATATTATTCTTGGTCAACAAAACTACTATGGACCAGTTTGTTGGTGTTTTTCTTCCAACAGTGTTGACAGGTAGCAGTGAATCACACTCTCCTGAGCCTCACCTGCCTCATGATCAGTGACACATGCGGCCAACAGCTGAGGTTAAAGATGCAGACTGATACTGCAGATGAACTTCCCCTCCCAGGATGCTAAATGCTACCTATATACTTCCCCGCTGGCTCAGCGGTAAAGAACCCGCCTGCAATGCAGCTGACATAGGTTCAATCCCTGGATCAGGAAGATCTTCTGGAGAAGGAAATGGCAACCCACTCAAGTATTCTTGCCTGAGAAATCTCATGGGCAGAGAAGCCTGGTAGGCTACAGTCCATGGGGTCACAAAAAGTCAGACACGACTTAGCAACTAAACATCAACAGCAATACAGATATGCAACGACTAACCCTTAGTGTCACTGGTGCCAAATTCAAACCCAAGTTAACTGGCCCAGACTCAAAGATGAAATAAATCACAGGCTTTTTGTTTATTTGAATAACACAATGATCATTATCAAAATGTTAAGCATCCTCTATAGAAAGAATTATGCTGATAATGTTGCTTAGTCTCTAAACCGTGTCCGACTTTGTGTGACCTCATGGACTGTAGCCTGCCACCAGGCTCCTCTGTCCATGGGATTCTCCAGGCAAGAATACTGAAGTGGGTTGCCATTTCCTTATCCAGGGGATCATCCCAACCCAGAGATCGAACCCGTGTCTCCTGATTGGCAGGAGGGTTTTTTTTTTTTCCTTCAAAACCACCAAGCCACTTAGATATAAACATACTAGCCAAAAAAAAATTTTTAGAGATTGTCATAGTTTCCAATGGACTGCAGCACGCCAGACTTCCCTTGCGTGCTGCAGTCCATGGGGTCGCAAAGAGTTGGACACCACTGAGTGAGTGAACCGATAGTTTCCAGTATTTTGCCTCATAAATCAAAATTCCAGCAACTCCAATACTTAGAGAAGTACAAACTTCATATTCTAGAACATCTCTAAAACCAAAAACACTTTGTCAGACCATATATCCATATTTTCAGGGCGTAATATATGGTGCACAGATGTAGGGCTTAGGGATCATACCCAATCCTCAAAGATCTTAAAAATCTAATTGGGAAGTAGAATAAAAAGATAAACTGAAATCCAGGCCAGCATATTCTGAGGAGAAAAAAAAAGACGAGGAAAACAGTCTCACACAGCAGAGGTGAGAATAGACCTCTTGGGGTTGAAGTAGTCAAAAAGGCTTCTCAAGGCCAGAATAAAGGGAATATCCATGAACACAAGAAGAGTGTTTCAAACAGAAACAAAGGCACAAAGAAAGGCCAAGAGGAGGGATTTCAAAGGAACAACAAACAAGTTAGTTTGGCTGGAACTAAAGATTCACAAAGGGAAGAAATAAGAGTTAAGATTGAAGAATGGATCAGGGCCAGATTATAGAGAAACCTGAAAACCACACCGAGGAGTGAAAACCTTACTTTGCATGTAACAGGGAGTTTCTGTAAGTTTTTATGTTGTGATGTGAGAAGGTGAGTGTTAACATGTGCAAGGTATTATTTACTCAAAGCATTAGTGAAGCACAAATACTCCAGGTGAAACACATCACCAGGAGAAGCACATATTCAAAGTCCGGGTCCAAGAACTTATTTTGGGGGAAGGAGGGGAGTGAACAGCAGTGCGCAAATAATGACACTGACCCAAGTTAAACAAAAAGTTACAGAGGTCTACGTTTGCCATTCCCATTTGTTTAAAGTTTCCACCTATTATAAAAGCAAGGTAAGTATAAAAGCACACTGAACAGTTCTCACTGTATCAATTACACAAGGAGGCAACTTACCTCAAATACCCTACAGCTGGATCAGGAGTTCCAAACCTATGCTGCCCCTCAGATTTTAAATGCAATATGCCAAAACCTTTATCAGCATACAGAACTGAATCAAGGCCACAAACTTTAAAATACACTACCATGAAAGAGTTCATCACACTAACTCAAGCACACTGCAAAGTAAATAAATGGGTGTCTCAATGCTCCCAAGCATTAATAAAAGGGGTTGAAACAACAACAGAAATAAAATCCCCTCATGACATTCAAATAGGATCCTCCCCAAAGATTAAAATATGCCATTACTGTCCTCTTAGTGCCACTAACAGCCCTATAAAAACAATGTTATGAAATTTTAGCATAAGAAGGTGACTGCATATCTTGTCAAGAGCTAAAAATCAAACAGGGAAGTAGGGTTCTAAATTTCTTTATAACTGCCTCACTTAATTAATACTCATAACCAGGAGTAGAGATCCAGCTTTATTTTTCACAAACGTAGTTTAGATGACTTTCCTAAGGCCCCTGGCACAAGCCAAGATCAAAATTCCTCATGGTTTCCCCTGGCTTATGGTTTGAACACTGAGTCATCCATGCTTGATCAAAACATGGGTACCCTTGAGGTCGCACAAGTGATAAAGTCAACTAAAAAAAGAGACCTCAGATAGAAAAAAACCACTCATTATATAACGTTTCCAAGAGGGAAAGATTTCTCTTCAACTGGATTCCTAAAACATTTTTGTACATTAAATTTATTGACAACAACATAACATCATAAGGGGAACACCACAATACTTGGGTGGAAGAGGACGGCGTTTAACCTGATAGAAGTCTACGGAGTTACGGAATCAATTGACAAATACCAAATTCTCTGCCAGAAGAGTTTCCAAACACCAGGGTTATCTCAAAGATAAATGGGGTCGGCTCAAACTTCCAGGCTGAACCTCAACTGCTGGCCCCTCGAGCTTAACATGCAAGTATTCATTACGGTCCTTTTGTCTGTGGAATGACCCCACACACCAAGCCACAGCCGAGGGAATAACAAGGTAAGTGTGCACGGAACCACCGTTTATTGCGAGCTAGAGGGCCAAACAATCTTTGCACTGGTTCCACCTTCTCCCCCGCAACCACCACCCCCCGCCCCTCAGCCCACCCCTGTCGGCCCCCACCTTTATTTTGTGAGAAAAAGGGAAACAACGGGAGGCCATCGCAGGAGGCGGAGAGGAAGCCGCCGGAGGGGGGGGGGGTGCTGAAATACAAGTTTGGGGGATACCGGCACCAACTTGTGGCGACGGACCTAAGTATTGAGGGCCCTATTGCAGAGACCAGCCCGTAGGTGGCAGGAAAAGAAGTTGGGGGTGGGGGGCCGGGAATCTGGCGGAAGACAGTCGGCAGGGCAGGCAGCGCGTCCAGCCGCGGCGGACCGATGGTCGGTAAACAAGCCTGGAGGACCCACACCCTCTCACAGCCCCGGGCCTCTCCCCTCACTAGGAAAGCCCAAGATGGAAGCGCGGCGAAGCCAGCCCGTGTCCCCCCTCCCCTCTCCTCGCCGGCGACGCTGGCCCCGGGGGTGGGGTGGGGGGAGATGCAGGGGGGGGCGGCCCGGGAGACCCAGCGGCCAGGGTGCCGTGAGGGAGCGAGGGGCCGGCCAGGCCGCGCGGCGGGGCCGCCAGGGGCCTGAGGCAGGGCGCCCTCCCCGGGGGCCCTGGTTACCTGGCGGCGGCTCCTCCTCCAGCTCCTGCTCCTCCTCCCCGTCCGACGCTCGGCGCCCGGCAGCCGCGGCGGCGGCGGCGGCGGCGGCGGCGACTCCCCTCCGAGCAGCCCGCGGCGACGAGCCGAGCCCGGCCCCTCTCCGCCTCCCTCCGCGCCTCCGCCCGCCCCGCTGCTGCCGCCTCCGCCCTCTCCCCACAGTCAGGACATGGTCTCCACCGGCCCGCGCGCGGCTCCCGCTGCCGGAGGCGGGGGCAGAGGGGCGGAGAGCAGGCGCGGAGGCGGGGGGACGTCGAGGGGAGGGGGGAGTGAGGAGGGGGGGCGGCCTCGGACGCAGCCGGCTCCTAATGGCGGCGGTGAGAGGCCCCGGAGCCAAATAAACCCCGCGGGTAGCCGCACAACGTCAAGGCTGGACCCCGCAGCTCGTCGCCCTGTCATTGGCCCCGAGGCCTCCAGCGGCGCAGCCAATGAGCGGCCGCCTCTTTCCAGGCGCGGGAGGCGGGCGGTGGAGAGCTGACGTCACGCAGGCGCCGGACCCGATTGTGAGGCAGCGGCGCACACCAGCCCCCCCCAAGCCCCGCCCTTTTTGCGGCGTCCGCCCGCGTCGGGGCTGCGGAAACGGCGACGTGAGGGGGACGCAGAGAGGCGACCGTGCGGGATACGGAGACGCAGACGGGGTGACCGGGAGGGGTTCTCCTGGCTGCTTAACTCCTCCTGTCGCCTCTGTGCTAATGACGCGTCAGTAGTCTTAAGTCAACCCCCACGTTTCTCCAAGTGAACTTCTTAGTAATACTTCTGCCATCACTTTTTCTTAACACAGTTTCAGATTCTTGATATATGAATGTTTAGGTTGAGGTAATTTAATTTTTATGTAGCTAGTTTTTACCACGTCCATTTTTATTCCTGCTACTGACTAAAAAATGTAGTCACAATCTGAAAGGATAGAGTTGTTTTATTTGGTGGGAATGTTTAGGACTCCGAGCCTGGGAGAGATGTCTTAGTTCAGTCATCTGTTCAATCGCTCAGTCGTGTCAGACTCTTCGCGACCCCATGGACTGCAGCATGCCAGGTCTCCCTGTCCATCTCCATCTGCCGGAGTTTACTCAAACTCCTGTCCATTGACTTGGTGATGCCATCCAACCATCTCATCCTCTGTCGTCCCCTTCTCCTGCCCTCAATCTTTCCCAGCATCAGGGTCTTTTCCAGTGAGTCAGCTCTTCGCATCAGGTGGCCAAAGAATAGGAGTTTCAGCTTCAACATCAGTCCTTCCAATGAACATTCAGGACTGATTACTTTTAGGATGGAATAGTTTAATCTCCTTACAGTCCAAGGGACTCTCAAGAGTCTTCTCCAACACCGCAGTTCAAAAGCATCAATTTTTCAACACTCAGTTTTCTTTATGGTTCAACTCTCACATCCATACATGACTACTGGAAAAACCAGAGCTTTGACTAGACGGACCTTTGTTGGCAAAGTAATGTCTCTGCTTTTTAGTCTGCTGTCTAGGTTGGTCATAAATTTTCTTCTCAGTAACTCTGAAAAAACTGCTCCAAGGAGGCAGGGAGGAAGTCAGGCTATATACAAGTTTGCAGCAAAGGGAGCAGGCAGTCTGAACATCAAAGATCAAGTACAAAGTTAAGGAATTTAGCATTCTATGGACAGGAAAATGCCAGCCCCTCGGCTCCCTGACTTCATTCCTTTCTGGTGTACCTCAGCTGTTTGGGGCCAACCCTGTTTCCTTGTTCACCTTAGGGAGTAGCAGGTGGCTGCTGCTTGCATTCCCCCAGCTCCTGAGCAATCACAGTGGCGGTGGCAACATCTGCTGGATCTCAGTTTTGGGAGCCCTCATTCACGTTTGGAAGCCAGAAAACGCTGATGGTTGTGATAATTCTTCCTGATTAACATGGCAGGGGATATTTTCATTTCACACTGCCTTCCAGGCAGCTATCCATTTATATTTGTGTATGTGTAAATTTATAATGTGTGTATCACTCAGGTACATACATATATACATGATGAGAAGGTATGGAGTTATATGCCAATTATGTCTCAAAATTAATTTTAAGAAAAAGCCATAGAGAGTTTGCTTCTTGCTCTCTTCTACTTCCTAGCTCTAGTTTGGGGAAAACCTAATTTTCTAATGGCTGCCTCTTCTGTAAGTTGTAAGGAACCCAAGTTCTAAAGAGAATATATTATATGGTGATGTTTTGTATATTTCTTTCTATCTTTCTTTCTCTTTTTTTTTTTTTACTGTTGTTGTTGTTCAGTCACTAAGTTGTGTCCGATTCTGCAACCCCACCCACTGCAACACACCAGGCTTCCCTGTCCTTCACTATCTCCTAGAGTTGGCTCAAACTCATTTCCATTGAGTCGGTGATGTCATCCAACCATCTTATTCACTGTCGCCCCCTTCTCCCGCTGACGTCAATCTTTCCCAGCATAAGGGTCTTTTCCAGTGAGGCGGCTCTTCTCATCAGGTGGCCGGAGTATCGGAGATTCAGCTTCAGCATCAGTCCTTCCAATGAATGTTCAGAGTTGATTTCCTTTAGGATTGACTGACTTGATCTCCTTGATGTACAAGGGACTCTCAAGAGTATTTTCCAGCACCACAGTTCGAAAGCATCAATTCTTTGGTGCTCAGTCTTCTTTATGGTCCAACTCTCTCATCCATACAGGAATACTGGAAAAACCATTAGCATTAACCATACGGATCTTTATCAGCAAAGTGATGTCTCTGCTTTTGTAATACACCATCTAGATTTGTCATAGCTTTTCCTCTTTTACTGTAAATGTAGTCAAAGAACCTAAGTCATTTAGCCATTTACTAAAACCCCATGAGTATATCATATTTTTCTGGCTGGAAAAGTGAAAGTCTCTCAGTCGTGTCCACCTCTTTGCGATCCCATGGACTATACAGTCCATGGAATTCTCCAGGCCAGAATACAGGAGTGGGTAGCCTTTCCCTTCTCCAGTGGATCTTCCCAACCCAGGGATCGAATCCAGGTCTCCCACATTTGCTTTTTTCAATGAGACTTCACCTTATACTTTTCATACTTCAAATTGTATTTCAAGAATTTGAATGACCATAAAAACACAGCAAGTCTTTAAAAGTTGTAAACCTCTTTAAAAGTTACCAGTTGGGGAAATATAGCACTGTCAAAGAATTTAATAACCGCATTTCTGTTGGAGTCCTCAGCTTCAATAGAAAGAATTTATTAGAGTTTAATTGGATTTTTAAAACTTGGATGGAAACCTCATTTAGTAAAACTATGCCTGATATTCTCAATCTCTCTTTGGAGAAATAGGCACAGGTTGCATGTGCAGCTTCACTATGGCCACTGAAGAGAAACACCTTATATAACTGCTTCTCATCAACTGCCTTTTACCTAATCATTGGTATGTTATATAAACCATTCCTGTGATATAGAGATTTTCAATAACCACTATCTTCCCAAAGCAACATTTTTGCTCAATTACTGATCAGTAAATTGAGCTTAAACTCCAAGTCATTTTCCTATGAAACTTAACACACATTCTCCAACATATATTGAACACAATTGAAGTTAAAATTAAACCACAGTATTATGAAAGAACACACAGATCCACCAACATTTCACTTTGAAAATATTTTAGAGCCTCTGAGAACCTCCAGCTTGCCCTGCCTGAATCTCCACTACAAGTTCCCAAGAACCACAGGATCAGGTGTTTTTGTTTAGTTTGAGTTGTAATTCATTTTATTAAGGAAAAGGGCTATTGTTTGAGTAACATTAACTCTTCCTGCAGTTTAGCAAACAAATTCCATGTGCCGAGGAATGACAGCCACACCAAGATGAGTACAACACAGTCTGTGTTTGAGGAAACTACAGCACAGGAACGAGGACCAGACAAAAATAACCGTCAGTATGATAGGCGGGAGAATGTGCTGCTGCTGCTGCTAAGTCACTTCACTCGTGTCCGACTCTGTGCGACCCCATAGACGGCAGCCCACCAGGCTCCCCCGTCCCTGGGATTCTCCAGGCAAGAACACTGGAGTGGGTTGCCATTTCCTTCTCCAATGCATGAAAGTGAAAACTGAAAGCGAAGTCACTCAGTCGTGTCCGACTCCTTGAGACCCCATGGGATGCAGCCCACCAGGCTCCTCCATCCACGGGATTTTCCAGGCAAGAGTACTGGAGTAGGGTGCCATTGCCTCCTCCGGTAGAATGTGCTAAGTAAATTCAAATAAAAATCATCTTGTAATTGAGAGGAAGAGCAACTCCAAAAATGACTCTTATGTTGAAGCAGAAAAGGCATTTGATACCAAGCCAAGGGTTCTCAGCCCCAGGTACACATGAGGATCTTTTCAAAACACACGTATCTGGGGACCACCCAGACCTGCTGACACCATCCCCAGCTGGAGAGCTTGCCCTGGCAATGTGTTAAACACACTACCCAGGTGAATAGCGTGTACAGCCAAATATTGATATTGTACCAGCCCCACAGTTTGCAGATGTGGAAACTAATGCCTAGAGATTTTAAGTGACTTACCAAAAGCCAGACCATCTAACTCTAAAATTAGAATGTAAAGCTCTTGATTCCCCAGTCAAATCTCCTTTCCATTGTACCACATGTGAGTAAAAAGGATGTCAGCAAAAGCAGCAGACAGCACTGTCACCAAGACAGTGTTTGGCACAGAGATTAAATTATCATTCTCCTTACATATATCTCTCAGAACTATTTCATTTGGGAATAAAAAAGTGTACATTTTTTTTGGAAAAAGTTCTTTTTCTTAGAACCTTTTTACTAAAGTGTAGGGAGGGACATTATAGTTTTGCTGACAACTAGCTTGTTTGGGGTTTTATTTCAGGTGTTTTTCAAACCATCTACAGAAGATATGGCTTCCCTGGTAGCTCAGTCAGTAAAGAATCTGCCTGCAATGCAGGAGACTGGGGTTCCATCCCTGGGTTGGGAAGATCCCCTAGAGAAGAAAATGGCAACCCACTCCAGTATTCTTGCCTGGGAAATCCCATGGACAGAGGAGCCTGGCGGGCTACAGTCCATGGTGTCACAAGAGTCAGACAGGAGTTAGTGACTAAACCACCAACCATCACCACGGAAGATACAATTCTGTTTTACTTTTCCTGTGAAGGTCTTGAATGCCAAACTGTAGCTGTGTACTTAATTCCTTTACTAGTAGAAAGCCGTGGGAAGGTTTTGAACAGGCAAGTGCCAATTCTTAGAAGTTAACCTGGAATACCTGTGAGACCAACCAATATAGAACCAGAAACAGGGACAGAGAAACCAATTAAGGGTCAAAGACCTGAAACCTGTGGGAATGGAAAGGAGAGGGCGGACGTGAAATAGGCTGACCCTAGAAGGTTCCAGATTTGCTAGCCTTTGAATCTGGAGTAAATGAAAGAATCGAAAGTCAAGGATAAAACACAGGAGAGGAACTAGATAAGAGGTGATACTGACCGCTGGACCAGGTGTGTTGAGATGCTAGGCTCAGAAGGAGATGTGCAATGCAAGGGAAATGTTGAATACATGATAGACTAGACCTAGAGATAAACATCAAGGAGTTATCTATGCAGAAGTTACCCTTGAAACCGCAGGAGCAGGGAAGAAAAAGAG